CCATGGCAGGGGTCAGTGGTTAGATGGGAGGAGACGGCAGAACATCCATCTACTGATCTGCTCTCTGGTGGATGAACCTGGAAGTGGCGAGGAATTCCTCACGTTGGGGTTCAGGGCCGTCATTCCCGGACCACAGGGGACGGGAAGAACCAGAGTGATCTGTGCTTGGCCCAGTGATATTAGGGGTATGATACATCCCTGATGTCACCTTTAAGAGAACCGGTCACCTAGGATCACATGGGGGCTATTAGCCAGTCAGTGGGAAGCAAACCTCTTACATAGGTGGCCAGTGAGAAGCATACCCCTTACAGTGGTGGTCAGTGAGAAGCATACTCCTTAGAATGGTGGCCAGTGAGAAGCATACCCCCTACATTGGTGGCCAGTGAGAAGCATACCCCGTACACTGGTGGCCACTGAAAAGCATACCCCGTACACTGGTGGCCAGTGAGAAGCATACTCCTTACATTGGTGGCCAGTGAAAAGCATACCCCCTACACTGGTGGCCAGTGAGAAGCATACCCCGTACAATGGTGGCCAGTGAAAAGCATACCCCCTACATTGGTGGGGGGTGAGAAGCATACCCCGTACACTGGTGGCCACTGAAAAGCATACCACGTACACTGGTGGCCAGTGAGAAGCATACTCCTTACATTGGTGGCCAGTGAAAAGCATACCCCGTACACTGGTGGCCAGTGAGAAGCATACTCCTTACATTGGTGGCCAGTGAAAAGCATACCCCGTACACTGGTGGCCAGTGAGAAGCATACACCTTGCATTGGTGGCCAGTGAGAAGCATACTCCTTGCATTGGTGGCCAGTGAGAAGCATACTCCTTGCATTGGTGGCCAGTGAGAAGCATACTCCTTACATTGGTGGCCAGTGAGAAGCATACTCCTTGCATTGGTGGCCAGTGAGAAGCATACTCCTTACATTGGTGGCCAGTGAGAAGCATACTCCTTGCATTGGTGGCCAGTGAGAAGCATACTCCTTACATTGGTGGCCAGTGAGAAGCATAACCTTGCATCCTGGCCAATAGAAGACCATTCCCCCTAATGTATTTTCACCATGGCTGCCACTTTTACAGATGGCTCTATATAAGCCCCTCCTCCTGCTATGAGGGACTCGGGTTGGGTTCGTGTTGTGCGTCGGAGAATTGGGGCTTGGTGTTGGCTTCCATGAAACCCATTGCTGTCATAAGAAACCAACTTTGAGGTCTTCAGGACTCGTGGCCAGAATGTGACATCTAGAGTCTTCTCCTTCATACGGTACATTGTACCTTCTATTGTCCTCTTCAAACACGTGGCGTCCCCATGTAGGATTTCCTAACAAATTCTAACTTACGATGGTCCTTTGTTCACTGGAAGAGGACTCCGCCCACAGTGATGGGAGTCTAGTATTTAAGATGTTTGATCACTGGAGGTGGCCCTCCCATAAACACAAGAAGATGTTCTGTCCACATCTGCCCCAATGTTCCTCCAGAGTCAAGCTGTCGTTCTAAAAGGCAATGGGTTCTGGCTTGAATACACCGTTCCTTGTTAAAGTTCCACGTCCCCTTGATTCAATTATGACGCAATCTTGAGGTGACAACTTTGTGTTCCTCGCCGGTCTTTTGTGATTTACAACAGTCTATTTGTATGACTCGTGTAATGTATGGTTTCCCCAAGGTCATCAACTCCGACCGAGGCCCGAGTCTCTTCTCCGATCCAACGAAATGGACATGGACAAGGCACAAATTAACGAGATTTTAGATTTTACGCTGGAGATCATCTACCTGCTGACCGGAGAGGTGAGGAGGATTCTGGGAGGTCACATGACATCACTCTTATCTCTATTCATAAAACACAGCCCTGACCGGAGAGGTGAGGAGGATTCAGGGAGGTCACATGACATCACTCTGATCTCTATTCATAAAACACAGACCTGACCGGAGAGCTGAGGGAAGTTGGAAATGTTTGTAGTCATAGTTCCATCTCTCTTGCCATACACAGGATTACACCTTGGTTAAGAAGACCTCAATCAATGGACAAAGCTCCGTCTCCTCCATATCTACCATGAAAACCAAGCAGAAGATTCTAGAAGTCCTTGACAAGATTGCAGAGCTGCTGGGGATTGGAGAGGTGAGCGATGCCGGGAATTCTGGGACATGATCCAGGAACAGACAAGTGATGTGTCTTGATGGTGACTGTATCATTGTGTGTTTCAGGTTCCTAGTTGCAAATATGTAGAAAATAGTAAGGATCTGTACAAGGAGGAGAAGATGGAGAGTGAGCACACATTCATATCAGCTGGTAAGAAAATCAGGTCCACCTACATCCCCCATCATCTGATACACACATAGAAACAATGTATTCAGTCAGTGTGTGTGTTTCCTACAGATGGATCCAGTAAGAGGAACCCACCAGAGAGATGTCCCTGTCCTCCTTCTTCCCAGGATTCCACACAGGAACATCATCAGATCCCTCAGGCCCATCATCTGTATTCCCAGGATTCCACACAAGAACATCATGAGATCCCTCAGGTACATCATCTGTATTCCCGGGATTCCACACAGGAGCATCATCAGATCCCTCAGGCCCGACCTCTGTATTCCCGGGATTCCACACAAGAACATCATGAGATCCCTCAGGCCCGTTCTCTGTATTCCCGGGATTCCACACAGGAAGGCCACACCATCCCCCAACCCGCATCAGGAAAGCAGAGCAGAGAGCCCCCCGAATGTAACTCTTCACTGTTCAACCTGCAGAAATAATATGTGGATATTACAAGCCAACGTTCTTCTTCCAATGTAATCTTCCATGTTATATAACATTTCCCTTTGATATATTTTGGGGTCTGTAGAATGAAGATGCGTCTGAAATGAAAGTTGAAGGTAAAGAGGAGGAAGACGACACATTTACGGGTGACCAGTACGCGATGAAGAACACTGAAGTTAAGGTGATTGTTAAAGAAGAAGAAGGTCCTGCAGAGATCAGCACAGGTGGGTAATAGACATTCATAGAATATGATAATGATCTGACCCTAAGAAGTTGCCAAGTTCTTGGCCAGCCACATGGGCCCTTACCAAAAAGTCATCATGTTCCTTCTTTATATCGCCAGCAGGGAAACCACACATCAGGAAGACCTCTGAGGGGTGCCTAGTCTCATCTCCAACCTGTGACTCTGAAGATGATGCCACCACCCAAGAAGATCCAAGCACCTCAAAAGCAGGACTTCCTGGCACAGATAGCTCACCAGATCCCTCCCCTGAGGAACCGTCTTCTGATAAGTCTCATACTGTTACCCCAAATCCAGCATTCCACAGCGCAGACAGAACACCCGATCCCTCTAGTCCTGAAGGACCTTCTAATGACAGACCATGTTCTGATATGCCAGGTGCACATGAAGGACTTCCTAGGTCAGCTATTGATCCCTCAAATGCAGAGGAACCGCCTGTCTGCAAACCCGAGAAGGATGAGCCTGGTCCTTATTTAACGTGGGAGTCAGACATGGCTGGAGGCCAGAAGACGGACACGGACATCAGCTCATTCATCTGTTCGGACTGCGGGAAAAGCTTCGCGCTGCAAAATGATCTCAGCGAACATCAGGCAACTCACAACGTGAGCAAACCGTATTCGTGTTCTGATTGTGGGAAGCGGTTTAATGCCAAATCGAAACTGATCCAGCATGTCAGAGTCCACACGGGCGAGAAGCCTTTCCCCTGCCCTGAGTGTGGCAGATGTTTTACCACCAAGACCAACTTGGTCTCACACCAGATCATCCACACGGACAGGAAGCCGTTCCCGTGTAAGGAGTGCGGAAAGTGTTTCTCAAGGCAATCGTCTCTCTTGATGCATCAACAGACTCACAGTGGCAACAAGGATTTCACCTGCAGCGAGTGCGGGAAAAGCTTTGCCTTCAAGAATTATCTACGCATCCACGAGAAGATTCACACTGGTGAGAAGCCATTTTCCTGCTCGGAGTGCGGAAAGTGTTTTGTCCAGAAGTGGGCTTTAGTCATCCATGAGCGCCTTCACCGGGGCGAAAAGCCTTATTCCTGTGCAGAGTGTGGCAGGTGCTTTGTGGACAAAGGACAGCTTGCTATCCATCAGCGCATCCACACGGGCGAGCGGCCATACGCCTGCTCCGAGTGCTACAAGAGTTTTGTCCAGAAGTCGGCACTGCTGAGGCACCAGAGGACACACACGGGTGAAAGGCCATTCTCCTGTAGCCAGTGCGGGAAAGGCTTCTCACAGAAAGCCCAACTGATCACCCATCAGAAAGTTCACACTGCCATTTGAGGCCCACTTCCTGTTTGTAGCACTTCCTGTTCCTTGGAAAGACTACATTCCTTCACTCAGGTGGACATCAAGTTTTCTATGCGGAAAAATATTTTGTACAAATTATATATACGTAATAAATAAATGAAAACCCATCCAGACCTCGGCCTTCACTTCTCTTCCCAGACCTTCTCTCCTGATGGGATCTGATGGTTTCTTATTCTTCCAAAATACAGAAAATTCCCAGAGGTCAGCCCTTTTATGGCCCCTCCCAGATCCCTACCAGACCCTTATCCCAGAGATTTATTACACATGAGAGTCCTCAGTCCCCCCTTCACATCAGAGTCCTCAGTCCCCCGTCACATCAGAGTCCTCAGTCCCCCGTCACATCAGAGTCCTCAGTCCCCCGTCACATCAGAGTCCTCAGTCCCCCGTCACATCAGAGTCCTCAGTTCCCGTCACATCAGAGTCCTCAGTCCCCCTTCACATCAGACTCCTCAGTCCCCCGTCACATCAGATTTCTCAGTCCCCCATCACATCACAGTCCTTAGTCCCCCATCACATCACAGTCCTTAGTCCCCCATCACATCACAGTCCTTAGTCCCCCATCACATCACAGTCCTTAGTCCCCCATCACATCACAGTCCTTAGTCCCCCATCACATCACAGTCCTTAGTCCCCCATCACATCACAGTCCTTAGTCCCCCATCACATCACAGTCCTTAGTCCCCCATCACATCACAGTCCTTAGTCCCCCATCACATCACAGTCCTTAGTCCCCCATCACATCACAGTCCTTAGTCCCCCATCACATCACAGTCCTTAGTCCCCCATCACATCACAGTCCTTAGTCCCCCATCACATCACAGTCCTTAGTCCCCCATCACATCACAGTCCTTAGTCCCCCATCACATCACAGTCCTTAGTCCCCCATCACATCACAGTCCTTAGTCCCCCATCACATCACAGTCCTTAGTCCCCCATCACATCACAGTCCTTAGTCCCCCATCACATCACAGTCCTTAGTCCCCCATCACATCACAGTCCTTAGTCCCCCATCACATCACAGTCCTTAGTCCCCCATCACATCACAGTCCTTAGTCCCCCATCACATCACAGTCCTTAGTCCCCCATCACATCACAGTCCTTAGTCCCCCATCACATCACAGTCCTTAGTCCCCCATCACATCACAGTCCTTAGTCCCCCATCACATCACAGTCCTTAGTCCCCCATCACATCACAGTCCTTAGTCCCCCATCACATCACAGTCCTTAGTCCCCCATCACATCACAGTCCTTAGTCCCCCATCACATCACAGTCCTTAGTCCCCCATCACATCACAGTCCTTAGTCCCCCATCACATCACAGTCCTTAGTCCCCCATCACATCACAGTCCTTAGTCCCCCATCACATCACAGTCCTTAGTCCCCCATCACATCACAGTCCTTAGTCCCCCATCACATCACAGTCCTTAGTCCCCCATCACATCACAGTCCTTAGTCCCCCATCACATCACAGTCCTTAGTCCCCCATCACATCACAGTCCTTAGTCCCCCATCACATCACAGTCCTTAGTCCCCCATCACATCACAGTCCTTAGTCCCCCATCACATCACAGTCCTTAGTCCCCCATCACATCACAGTCCTTAGTCCCCCATCACATCACAGTCCTTAGTCCCCCATCACATCACAGTCCTTAGTCCCCCATCACATCACAGTCCTTAGTCCCCCATCACATCACAGTCCTTAGTCCCCCATCACATCACAGTCCTTAGTCCCCCATCACATCACAGTCCTTAGTCCCCCATCACATCACAGTCCTTAGTCCCCCATCACATCACAGTCCTTAGTCCCCCATCACATCACAGTCCTTAGTCCCCCATCACATCACAGTCCTTAGTCCCCCATCACATCACAGTCCTTAGTCCCCCATCACATCACAGTCCTTAGTCCCCCATCACATCACAGTCCTTAGTCCCCCATCACATCACAGTCCTTAGTCCCCCATCACATCACAGTCCTTAGTCCCCCATCACATCACAGTCCTTAGTCCCCCATCACATCACAGTCCTTAGTCCCCCATCACATCACAGTCCTTAGTCCCCCATCACATCACAGTCCTTAGTCCCCCATCACATCACAGTCCTCAGTCCCCCATCATATCAGAGTCCTCAGTCCCCCTTCACATCAGAGTCCTCAGTCCCCCCATTACATCAGAGTCCTCAGTCCCCCATCACATCAGAGTCCTCAGTCCCCCGTCACATCAGAGTCCTCAGTCCCCCCGTCACATCAGGAGCTGCAGCTATGGCAGAAGACGGGAGGTAAAAGAGCACTTGGACATGCAGCAGTTCACAGGTTACAGTAACGTGGCCACAGAGAGCCGATCACTCATTACCAATACAATACTGCTCTAATACTAAATCCACTGTGGGTCTGGTCACATGACTACAGGGACGGGGGGCCCCATGCAGAGTCCCGGTGCCTCAACGCCACAGATATAAACTAAAACATAGCTTTCTGAAAACATCACAGCACCCTGCCTCAGTACTCCTCTCAAGAGCCCTCAGCCCTGATGCAAGCAGTGGGCGGGCTATACAAATATAAAACTGCTTCGATGGGTGGTGGTCAGTCTCGAGACGCGGACGTTCCTGGGCAGGCTGCATTTGCTAAAATCGCACCTGTGAGGCCGAGCCTCTGTGAAGGCAAGAACTGAAATCCAATGAATGGAAGGGACGGGCCAGAGACAGTCAGGCTGGGGAGAAAAGTTCTAGATGACGTTGGATGTCCACCAGCCAGGATTTGAGGCAGGCTCTATTTGCTGCAGCTTCTAATGCACATTGTGAGGAGCTCGCAGTGTGCAGTGACATCAGAGGAAGCCATTTCAGTCCAGGAGAGGAAACGGTACACCTGTGCAGGACTGCAGGGGAGGACGGAGGTCAGATAGAAGACTGAAGGGAAGGACGGAGGTCAGATAGAAGACTGCAGGGGAGGACGGAGGTCAGATTTGATAAACAACAAGGTGTGGGGTGAAACCAAAGAGCAGCATAATAATGGGGGGGGGGGTCAGTGAACAGTAAAGTAGTTAATACGCAGCAAGGCGAGGGTTAATTCACTATGAGGTAACGCATTCATGTGCGTGCTGCTGCGTGAAGGTACAGGGGCAAGCAAAGGGTTAATCTGCAGTGTCCCTGTGCGTCCACCGCAAGGCGAGCCGATCCAAAGCGCAATTATTATTCCTGGCAAGGGGAGGGTTAATCCACATCGCGGTGGCGAGTCCGCGGCGCAGCCAAAGTCCATCCAATGTGCACTGGACAGTTCACGGCAAGGCGAGGGTTAATCCACATTACAACGGGGAGTTTGCAGGCAGCCGAGCGCTAATCCTCAAGGCCAACGAGCTGGCCGTCAACGAGGGGTTAAATCAATAAAAATCACCCTTCAAACCAAGGACTAATCCCCGCCCCCCATGTCTGTCTGCTCACCATAAGGGGTTAATCCCCGCCCCCCATGTCTGTCTGATCACCATAAGGGGTTAATCCCCCCATGTCTGTCTGCTCACCATAAGGGGTTAATCCCCCCCATGTCTGTCTGATCACCTTAAGGGGTTAATCCACCCCACGTCTGTCTGCTCACCATAAGGGGTTAATCCCCCCCACGTCTGTCTGATCACCATAAGGGGTTAATCCCCCCCACGTCTGTCTGATCACCATAAGGGGTTAATCCCCCCCATGTCTGTCTGATCACCATAAGGGGTTAATCCCCCCCATGTCTGTCTGATCACCATAAGGGGTTAATCCCCCCCATGTCTGTCTGATCACCATAAGGGGTTAATCCCCCCCATGTCTGTCTGATCACCATAAGGGGTTAATCCCCCCCATGTCTGTCTGATCACCATAAGGGGTTAATCCCCCCCATGTCTGTCTGATCACCATAAGGGGTTAATCCCCCCCATGTCTGTCTGATCACCATAAGGGGTTAATCCCCCCCATGTCTGTCTGATCACCATAAGGGGTTAATCCCCACCATGTCTGTCTGATCACCATAAGGGGTTAATCCCCCCCATGTCTGTCTGATCACCATAAGGGGTTAATCCTTAGAGCACCGGGGAAGGTTGGAAGCTTTTAATCCCTTTCTATCCCGATTGTAACCCCTTGGTCACCGTTGCCTCATCCCTAAGAAGGAGACCTCCTGGTTTCGCCTCTATTGCACCTTCACTCACAAGGGGTTAATCTGGACCCTGGATGAGCCTATACAGAGCCCGCAGGAGAGACTACATTACCCAGAGTGCTCGCCTCCCACTTCCTGTGACATCATCGGCCAGAGCCTAAATCCTCGGCAAAGGTATGTTTTGCTCCTTGTGCATCCAGCCAGCCCGGAGAATTATATTCGTCAAGTTTTTGGGTTGGAAGCTCGCTTCGGCGCAGTGCCCATGGAGGACCCTTCTTTAAGATGTTTACGGGGTCCTTTTAAATTTTGTTCCGAGGCATATTTTGCCCATTTTGTAAAATTGACGGTTTTCCGATCGGGTGACGAATTTCGAAAAGTCTTCCTCCAATCACTAAGCTCGGAGAGGGGATGTTGACGTCAAGTTTAAAATTGGTGGTGAGACAAACGGCCATCGGCATATCCAAAAATTTGAGTAAGGAAGACCAGAGGAGGTCTTTTTTAAATTTGACGGAATGGATCGCTTTGATTGATCTATTCCCGTCGAAATTTGGTGAAGAACCGCTTGACCAAAGTTGACGTTCCTCACACAAAGTCTTGGTTGTGAACTTACACTGTCCCCATTTTCTTGGCTTAAAAAGCAAAACTCGAAAAGCAATCCCAATTCAAACATTTGGTAAAATGTTTTCGAGTTTTGCTTTTTAATAAATAATCAACGGCAAAAAACCCCACAGGAAACCTTAACAAGAGTCTTCCCCAAAATATCCCTCACAAGGAAAGTCCCAGAGATAATCTTCCAGGGCACATTTTACAAGGGAACAAGCCTTTTAAAACACGGATGTTGGCCATTAGGTAACCACTGTCCTTTGTGTAGAATATGTATGATCGGTGCTCGTTGGAGCTTTTGGTGTACCTGCGTTGGACACGAAGTGGAGTCATCTCATTCTCAGATACATGGGCCATCTCTGAACCTTAAATTGAAATATATAAACAGTGGCCAGGAAAACACATTTTTTAGGGTTCCCTGGGCTCTGGAAGAAGGTTAGATACATCGTAGGAGAGGACTCCACAAGATTCCTCTAGGTGTCCCAACCATCCAGGACACCAGGTTCTTGTCCAACTGCCCACCATTTGTTAGGGTTCCTTGGGCTCTGGCAGAAGATGAAGTACATCGTAGAGAGGACTCCACAAGATTCCTCTAGTGTCCCAACCATCCAGACACCAGGTTCTTGTCCACCTCCCCACCATTTGTTAGGGTTCCTTGGGCTCTGGCAGAAGATGAAGTACATCGTAGAGAGGACTCCACAAGATTCCTCTAGGTGTCCCAACCATCCAGGACACCTAGTTCTTGTCCACCTGCCTACCATTTGTTAGGGTTCCTTGGGCTCTGGCAGAAGATGAAGTACATCGTAGAGAGGACTCCACAAGATTCCTCTAGGTGTCCCAACCATCCAGACACCAGGTTCTTGTCCACCTGCCCACCCTTTGTTAGGGTTCCTTGGGCCCCGGCAGAAGATGAGATACATCGTAGAGAGGACTCCACAAGATTCCTCTAGGTGTCCCAACCATCCAGACACCAGGTTCTTGTCCACCTGCCCACCCTTTGTTAGGGTTCCTTGGGCCCCGGCAGAAGATGAGATACATCGTAGAGAGGACTCCACAAGATTCCTGTAGTGTCCCAACCATGCAGACACCAGGTTCTTCTCCAACTGTTAGATGCCTCGTTCTACCAGTTTTACAAATCGTAAATCATTGTGCTGATGTGCCTGTAATGATTCCCAAGAACATTTTTCCCATCATCAGAAGTCCAGTTTATTTTTACTTTAGTTCCGCCGTTGTTTTCTTGATATCCAACAAGCTTTGTCGGAAGTTGTAGAAACTCCCATAGCCAGACTATGGTACATCTATCCCTGTCCAACCCACTCCTAGCCCAACGTGTGTCTCCGTAGTAGGGGCTTCACCATGGAGGACCTTTAGTACTAAGCTCCTGCTGGGGAGAAACACGTCAAAGAAGTAGTAGAGGATCTGGTTGTGAGTGATGGGCCATAGTCTGGTTTTGCGAGTTTGCACTATTTGCAATAAAGCTTGTATCTGGATACTGTGTGGAAGGGGGGGGGGGGGACCCGGTAGGGAAGGAATGGATACAGAGGGGGGAGGAATTGATCCCGATAGGGAAGGAATGGTTCTCGGTAGAGAAGGAATGGATCCCTATAGTGTTGGAAAGGATCACAGTAAGGAAGGAACGGACCTCAGTAGGCAAGGACCATATCCCAGTAGGGAGGGGACAGATTTCAGTAGGGGATGAAAGCATCTTGGTAGGGAAGGAATGGATCCCGGTAGGGAAGGAATGGATACAGATAGGGGAGGAATTGATCCCGATAGGGAAGGAATGGATCCCAGTAGGGAAGGAATGGATCCCACTAGGGAAGGAATTGACCTCGATAGGGTAGAAAAGGATCACAGTAAGGAAGGATCAGATCCTTGTAGGGAAGAAATGCATCCCAGAGGGGAAGGAATGGATCCCAATAGAGAAGAAATGGATCCCAGTAGGCAAGGAACATATCCCAGTAGGGAGGGAACATATTCCAGTAGGAGAGGAAAGGATCTCAGTAGGGAAGAAATGGATCCCAGAGGGGAAGAAATGGATCCCAGTAGAGAAGAAATGGATCCCAGTAGGCAGGGAACAGATTCCAGAAGCAGAGGAAAGGATCTCAGTAGGGAAGGAATGGATCCTGATAGGGTAGGAAAGGATCACAGTAAGGAAGGAACAGATCCCAGTAGGGACAAAATGGATCCCAGAGGGGAAGGAATGGATCCTAGTAGGCAAGGAACAAATCCCAGTAGGGAAGGAAAGGATCTTGGTAGGGAAGGAATGGATCCCAGTAGGGTAGGAAAGGATCACAGTAAGGAAGGAACGGATACCAGTAGGGAAGAAATGGATCCCAGTAGAGAAGAAATGGATCCCAGTAGGCAAGGAACATATCCCAGTAGGGAGGGAACAGATTCCAGTAGGGAAGGAAAGGATCATTTGGTTTCCTTCAACATCTTCTCTCCACACATTCTACCACGTCAGTGTCTTCTCCTCATAAGGTATTAGATGACCACTCTTGACTTTTCTTTCACAATCTGCTGCGTCTGGTGCCATCAGGTCCAGGACAGTAAAGGAGATGTTGCTTGAACATTTGAGTATTGAACACATCGCCCATCTGTCCACAATGATGATCCACCACCCATGGACCAACGTTGTTGAGTATTGGGATGTGATGCACACATATCTCTGAACCATAATATTGTTTTTCTATCTACACTTCAGGGACAGCTGCTCCAAGCTGGATACATGTGCGTCCTCCGAGCCAGCAATGGAGAACAGCAAAATACGCCTAAAGGAGATATTAGATCTTTCGCTGGAGATCATCTACCTGCTGACCGGAGAGGTGAGGAGGATTCTGGGAGGTCACATGACATCACTCTTATCTCCCAATGATAAAACGCAGAGCTGACTGGAAAGGTGAGGTGTATTCTGGGAATATATTTAGTAAAAGTTCTATTTCCACTTACAGGGCTACACAGTAGTCAAGAAATCATCAGGGGATGGACAGTATCCCATCGACATGGCTCCATCCCACTTCCTGACACCTGAGGGCAACACCAACGAGAAGATCCTGGAAGTCATCAATAGGATCATTAAACTGTTGACAGGAGAGGTGAGCGGTGTTGGGAATTTGGGCCACTCTCCAGTATCAGGCATGTTATTAATTATTTGTGTCTTATATTGTTATTTCATAATGTAGGGTTGGGAATACACAGGGGAGTCTAAGGATCTGTGGAAGGACGAGAACACAAAGACTCAGCAGGTCTTTCCATCTCCTGGTAAGTCAACATAACACGTTATCTCATCTCAAGGTCCACCTAGATCCCCCATCATCTGATAAACACATAGAAACAATGTATTCAGTCAGTGTGTGTGTTTCCTACAGATGGATCCAGTAAGAGGAACCCACCAGAGAGATGTCCCCGTCTTCTGATTTCCCGGGATTCCACACAGGAAGATCATGAGATCCCTCAGGCCCATCCTTTGTATTCCCGGGATACCACACAGGAACATCATGAGATCCCTCAGGTCTATCCTCTGTATTCCTGGGATTCCACACAGGAACATCATGAGATCCCTCAGGCCCGTCCTTTGTATTCCCGGGATACCACACAGGAACATCATGAGATCCCTCAGGCCCGTCCTCTGTATTCCCGGGATTCCACACAGGAACATCATGAGATCCCTCAGGCCCATCCTCTGTATTCCCGGGATTCCACACAGGAACATCATGAGATCCCTCAGACCCGTCCTCTGTATTCCCGGTATTCCACACAGGAACATCATGAGATCCCTCAGGTCTATCCTCTGTATTCCCGGGATTCCACACAGGAACATCATGAGATCCCTCAGGCCTGTCCTCTGTATTCCCGAGATTCACAAGATCACACCATCCCTCACCGTGATCAGGTAGGGTCTCATTGACTCCATGTTGTATGGCCATTAGAAATGACGAGAACCAAAATTGTATGTAGGCCCTGATTTTAAAGATGCTACTTATCATTATTTCATGGGTTTAGGTTCCAAAGCTGATAGCTGTGAAAGCTGAACATAAAGAAGAAGAGGAGCTGTTGGTGAGAGGTGGTTCACACTTCACAGGTGAACTTAATATGAGAATGACCATTAAAGATGAAGGCATCTTTCCAGAGATCAGTACAGGTCAGTAATAAGGACTTTCGAGAAGCTTCTGAGGGCACCATTGTTTTGTTGCCCCTGGTCCATTATCAAAACACTGCTTGTTCCACAGTTAGAGTTCTATCAGCCAGTAATATGACCGTGACTTGGGCCTAGTAGACCATTGGGTAGCTGGAGTCACTTCTATTAAAATAAAGTGTTTTTTCTTTTTTATAATCCTCAGAGGAGCACCTCAGCTGTGTCCTAGAAGATAACATCATTAGTCAAGATTGTCAAGGAGAAAACCCTGTGGCGCAAAAACATCCAGGACATTACAGTGAAGATAGTTCACCAGATCTCTCCAATCTCGAGGAACTTTTTCCAAATCCAGCTCCATCTACACTTGCAGGACTTCACATTATGGACAAATCGCCTCATCCTTCTAATCTTGAGGAAACCCCTCTCGATAACTCACATGGTGTTATCCCAGAAGTCCAACCACATGTGCACAGTGAAGCCAGGTCACCAGGGGCCTCCATACCTGAGGAACCTCCTTCAGATAGCTCAGGAACCGCTTCTCCAGGACTTCCCGGCATAGCTAGATCACTTGGTCCCTCTGGCCCTGAAGAAGAACCTTACTGTAAGGCAGAGAAGGATGAACCTGGTGACTGTCTTACGCGGACATCAAATCTTATTGAAGATCCAAACAAGTACACTAATAGAAGTTCCTTTATATGTCCGGACTGTGGGAAAAGCTTTGAGGAGCAAAGAGAACTTGACCAACACCGGAGGACTCACACCGGGACGAAGCCTTATTCATGTTCTGATTGCGGGAAACGGTTTCCAGCTAAATCAAAACTAATCCAACATTTGAGAGTCCACACGGGTGAAAAGCCCTTTCCCTGTGGTGTGTGCGGGAAATGTTTCACCACCAAGACCAACCTTGCCACACATCAATCCATCCACACAGAAGAGAAACCATTTGCGTGTTCTAAGTGTGAAAAATGTTTCACAAGGAAATCATCTCTCCTGACACATCTCCGGATTCACAATGGTGACAAAGATTTCACGTGTGGAGAGTGCGGCAAGAGCTTTACGTTAAAATGTTATTTACGGATTCATGAAAAGATTCACACAGGTGAGAAGCCGTTTGCGTGCACGGAGTGTGGAAAGTGCTTCCTCCAGCGGTCAGCCTTTGTCAAACATCAGCGCCTTCACCGAGGTGACAAGCCGTTTTCCTGCCAGGAGTGCGGAAGGTGCTTTTTAGAGAAAGGACAACTTGCTATACATCAGCGCATACACACGGGGGAACGGCCTTATGCCTGTTCCGAATGCTACAAAAGTTTCTTTAAAAAGTCTGATCTTCAGAGGCACCAGAGAACGCACACGGGCGAAAAACCTTTCTCCTGCAGTCAGTGCGGGAAAAGCTTCACGCAGAAAGCTCATCTCATTGCCCATCAGAGAGTTCACGCGAGCGAGAAGCCATCTTCCTGTTCAGAGTGCGGCAGATGTCCACGGAAGTCTCATTCTGGCCAGCACCAGGAAGGTCACACTCATTGACTCGAATGAAGAACCATCCCAAGTTTTGTATGTAGCATTTGTTTTAGGCAGAGACTAATAATGTGTAATAAAGTTCAGCATCAACGCTGACCAAACTCTTGGCCTCCATTCATTCTGCTTGATACAGGAGGTCAGATCTTGACACTGGTGCCTTATGTGTTCATGGAGAAGGAATGGGTTGGAGGTGGTGGATCCAAACTGGGTTCATTCTCACAGTGTGGAGTGAAATATGTAAAGTGGGGTGCAGTCTTGTGCAGGTTAGGCTGCTCTCATGCATGAAGAGACCTCCAGGAGGTGCTTTGCACAAGAGATTGAGAAGAGAAAGAACAGCCCACCAATGGCTAAGAGTCCAAATGTTCTATTCCATCACAGAATTTGAAGGTTTTAAAGGGCCTCCTTCACCTTGGCCCAATGTGCTGGGAAGATTGGAGTGATGCTGGACTCAAATCCATGGTTGTAGTGCTCCTTCTCTCCTGAATCTCTTGGTTGAGGACAGCTTGGCTTGGGGCGAGAAGGTGCTTGCTATGTTGAGGAGGTACTTGAGCTTCAACTTGGCACAAAGTTGACATTTGCTTACTAAGTGTACCAAGGGCTGGATTTATACCCCACCCCCAGGCCAAATGTCATGTGCCACCCCTAACCTACTCCAGGTGACAGGATGGCTATTCAGATGCTCATCCATGGTCATAGTGACCCTTCTCTCATGAATCCCTTGGTTAGGAACAGCTTGGCTTGGAATGACCATCGTGTTGTGTGAAGGACATCAAAAGGTGCTTGCTACGGTGTGGGGGGTATTTGAGCTTCAATTTGGCACAGAATTGACCTTTGCATACCAAGTGTACCAAGGGCTGGACTTACCTCCAACCCCCAAGCCACATGTTATGATCTACCCCTATCCTACCCCAGGTGACAGGATAGCTATTCAGATGGTTATCCATGTTTTAGTTCTCCTTCTCTCCTCAGTCCCTTGGTTGAGGACATGGTGACCATCATGTTGTGGGAAGGAGATGAAAGTTGCTTGCTATGGTGCGGAGGTACTTGAGTTTTACTTGGCACAAAGTTAACATTTGCATATAAAGTGTACCAAGTGCTGGATTTCTACATCTCTTCTCCACCCAGCCCCAGGCCAAATATCATGTACCAACTCTATCTTACCGAAGCCAACAAGGTAGCTATTCATATGTTCATCCATGGTTGTAGTGCTCCTTCTCTCCTCAATCCCTTGGTTGAGGACAGCTTGGCTCGTGGCGGCCATCATGTTGTGGGAAGGAGATGAAAGGTGTTTGCTATGGTGAGGTGGTACTTGAGCTTCAAGGCAATGAGATATACTGCCACCTTGTGGTGTCTTCTATCATTCTCCTCTTGGCAATGTCATATTTAACTGACAGGTTCTCTTTTAATGGTATCCTGCTGTCCATTTTAACAGCCTCAAGGAACTCAGAGCTATCTGTCACAGGTGCCAGGGAGGTGAATGGCTGAGGAGACCTCAGTTCCTCAGGGCCAGGTTTAGAAGTGGAAGGATCCAACATGCTTGGAGCGACCTCTTCTGCAGATAGTTCCTCTGTAGCAGGGTGCAGCAGCGTGTCCTCAGCAAAGAAAGGTCACCCTAGAATATACAGTGGCATCCCAGCATGGCAAGGGTCAACCCATGAGGTCACTGAGCCCACAGTACAGCGAAGGTTACAGGTTTTGAATGCTGTGCCCGGGTTTCATGGCAGCAGAATCCCGGACACAAGATGTCAGGCAGACAGGGGCAACCAAAATTAAGATAGGGGCTACTGGCCCCCCACTGAAAATAGTCTTGGCTGTGATATTTACATATGAATGGGCGGCAATTTTTATCTATGAATACGCCGCAACTCATTCTCCCACATCTTCACGCGTCGCTAGAGTATTCGGGTTTCGCTTAAAGAAAAGGTGGCAACTCTAGTTAAGACCATTGCAAGGCAATAGATGGTCTTGTAATATAAAGGGAAGCCTACTAGAAGAGGAATGCAAGGTGAAAGTTCACCCTCACAATTTAACAGCGAGCCAAAGGGTTAATCAGTACTGTCATAGAAAGATGTCAGCAAGGTGAGGGTTAATCCAATCAAAAATACTGATCCCGCAGCAAGGCTTCATGGCAAAGGGAGGGTTAATCCACACCAGGGTAATGAGCCCACGGCACAGCGAGGGTTACTGGAAAAAGCCCACAGCAGGGAGATGGTTAATACTATGATAGTGAGCCCATAGCAAGGCAAGGGTTAATCCACATCATACTAGTAAGCACATAGGAAAGCAAGGGTTAATGAGTGTTAATAAGCCTACAGGAAGGGGAGGGTTAAGCCACATCATATTTGTGAGCCCACAGCACGGCGAGGGTTAATCCACATGGTACTAGTGGTGAGTCCACAGCAAGGCGAGGGTTAGTCAACATCGTACTAGTGGTGAGCCTACAGGAAGGCAAGGGTTAATACACATGATACTAGTGGTGAGCCCACAGGAAGGCGAGGGTTAATACACATGATACTAGTGGTGAGCCCACAGGAAGGCGAGGGTTAATACACATGATACTAGTGGTGAGCCCACAGGAAGGCGAGGGTTAATACACATGGTACTAGTGGTGAGCCCACAGCAAGGCGAGGGTTAATCCATAGTGGTGAGCCCACAGCAAGGCAAGGGTTAATCCATAGTGGTGAGCTCCCAGCAAAGCAATGGTTAATCCATAGTGGTGAGCTCCCAGCAAAGCAATGGTTAATCCACATCATACTAGTGAGTCCACAGCAAGGTGAGGGTTAATCTGCAGCAAGCCAACAGGGTGAGCCCACAGTGCTATGGTGAGTCCATGGTAGCTAATCCAGGTGACCCTATAACATATTAGTCTACAGGAGGGCGAGGGTTAATCTCCGGCTGTATGGGGCTGACTACATCACCCAGAGTTCCCTGCACCTCCAGCTCTGTGTGACCTCATCAGTCAGGGCCCAGCTGACGGGGAAGACGGGGAGGTATGTTTGGCTCACTTGGCATGCTTTCCCCTTCTAATCTGCAGGAGGTTCTGTACGATCCTCGAGACACAGAACGTAGGTCGTCTACGATACAGCGACGTGACAGGTCCTCGCCGTCTGCAGCCCGGAATGGACCACGCGGGGATCTCTAGGAATGGTGTAGAACATACATGTGTCAAATGAGCCAACTCACGTGTGACCGTCGCTGTGGAGGATGACAATCCACCAGAAATGCCTCACCAAACTTTGGCCAGTCATCTTCCACCACCACCACCGAGTCTACGTGTCACCGGTCATCATCCACCAGACAGACATCGACGGGATCCAAATTCCACATTTCATCACCAATTTCTGTCTTTTGTACGACGGAACGCTTTCTTCTTTATGGCCCCGCAGGCCGCGTCCAATATAATATATCGATATCAAATATAAATCTAGATACAGATGATAAAGATAACTATTGACTCTGCAGACAGTTGGTGACTTCTGCGCACTGTGCGCTTCAGCATGCGCTGACCCCGCTCTGTCATGTGACGTGGCCGACCACTTCCTGGCTGAGGTGCTGTTGTTCCCAGTTGCTTCCACTTTGTTATAATACCAGTAACAGGTGACCGCGTAATGTTTATAAGTAAGGAAATGTCACGTAACACCTGAATCCGGTGATTTGGAGGGGGGGGGCCCAATACTTTTGGCAATATAGTGTACATGTACATTCCAAGTCTACTATCCTGGTGTTTGCTGCCGGCTCTGTGTTGTTTTGGCTTACCGGCCTCATATTATACCTGTTGTTGAGATATTGTATTGTTTTCATAATTCAGGAGGTCACATCGAGGGCGTCCCACTCTTACGCAGAGCAGAGGCCGTACCTCCCATTAAAATGAACAAGGGCAAAATACGAATAAAGGAGATAGTAGATCTTACACTGGAGATCATCTGCCTGCTGACCGGAGAGGTGAGGAGGATTCTGGGAGGTCACATGACATCACTCTTATCTCTATTAGTAAAACACAGACCTGACCGGAGAGGTGAGGTGGATTCTGGGAGGTCACATGACATCATTGTTGTTTCCATACACAGAGTTATCTGTTGTAAAGTCTGGCCGCCAAGTGTCCATAACATTGCCTCCATCACAGTCCATACCAGCTGGGAGAGTCGACGTGCAGAAGATCCTGGAACTGGCAAACAAGATCACAGAGCTGCTGACGGGAGAGGTGAGCGGCGCCGGAAATTATGGGACATTGACAAGACATGTGTCTGGATGGTGACTGTATAATTGTGTGTGTGTGTGGCTGGATCAGGATGTCTCTGTCTATCTCTCCATGGAGGAGTATCTAGAAGGACACCGGGATCTCTACAAGGACGTCGTGATGGAGAATGAGCCGCCCCCCACATCACCGGGTAAGAGGAGAGAGCAGTACGGAGGGTCCACCTAGATCCCCCATCATCTGATACACACATAGAGACAATGTATTCAGTCAGTGTGTGTGTTTCCTACAGATGGATCCATGGAGGAGTGGGAGTATGTAGAAGGACACAAGGATCTCCACAAGGACGTCACATCCTTGTCTGAAGAGCAGGCTTGGTTTATTCTTTGTATTCATCTATTACAGATTGGCAGTGAAGAAAAGATGGAACTCATGGAAGATTGGCCACGTAAGGACAAGGTGATCACTACAGAGAGATGTCCCAATCTTCCTTACTCCCGGGATCCCACGCAGGAACATCACTACATCCCTCACCATGACCAGGTAGACAGAACTAAGGATCTCGGCCAACACCAATATATGACCCGTGGAGGTGATGTGCGGGTCCAGCTAGTTTACACTCATGCCGTTAAATATTTTCCATCTTGTGGATTCAGAGAGAAGATCTCAGAGATGCGAAAACAGCAGTTAAAAAGGAAGAGGAGATGTACGTGAGGGCTGCTCAGCAGTCTACGGAGGTGGTCAAAATGATGGTGAGGATCAAAGAAGAGGAGTCCTCGGCGCAGATTGGTACACGTAAGTAAAAACCTGGTCAACATAAAACTGGTTTATCTGTGGCGGTCCATGATGGAAACCCTTTGGAAGTGTTCACTGTCCCCTTCACTACCCATATTGGAACATTTCAACAGATCTTGGCCACCTGGCAGTCCAGGCAAGCAATGGCAGCACCGTCTATGGTTCTTGAGATGTGGTGGTTAGTGGTTGGTCTTGCTCTTCACCAACTGACCCAAAGTAGGACATGTGTATGTGTATTAATTAGTAGAGTTCATTTGATCTGTCAGGACTGCTAGGGAAGCACGTTGGCCACTAAATCAAGTTGCTATCAAGTTGAAGCATCTAGGGGTTGAGAAACGGTTTGGTAGCCACATAAATTGGGCATTAGGCAATATGTAGGATGAGATGTCGGCTTGTTCACAGCTGTGCTGAAGAACGTTGAATGTTAGAGTTGAACTATGGTCAGAGACTGTTAATGAAAGCTGATGGACCTCTTTTTATATTCTTAGGGGAGTTGTACATGAGTAACATCTTGGAAGGACAACTTGACATCACACAAGATGCTCCAGGAGTCTCCCCCGGAACCCCAGACATCAACCTTGAGGGACCATCTCTCTGCAAACCAAAACCATGTCCCGAAAAGAGTGAATATTCCACATGGGAATCAGGTTTTGTTGAAGATCATAAGATGGACACCGACCTCGGCACCTTCAGATGTTCAGAGTGTGCGAAAGGCTTTGCTCACGCAGAAGACCGCAACAAGCATCAGACAACGCACGCTAAGAGGAAGCCGTTTTCGTGTTCTGACTGCGAGAAACGCTTTCTGGTGAAATCCAAACTCATCCGGCACGTTCGCGTCCACACGGGCGAGAAGCCCTACTCCTGCGCCGCGTGCGGCCGCTGCTTTAGCAACAAGAAGAATCTCGCCGTGCACGTCCATAGGCTCCACCCGGACGACAAGCTCTTCTCCTGTTCGGACTGCGCCATGTGTTTCCAGGAGAAGGGGCGGCTGGTTATGCATCGGAGGATTCACGCGAGTGAAAGGGAGAGGCCGAGGCCGTATGCCTGCCCCGAGTGTCGAAAAGGCTTCGCCAAGAATTCCGACCTGGTAAGGCACCGCCGGACACATACGGGTGAAAAGCCTTTCTCTTGCAGTGAATGCGGAAAATGCTTTGCACAGAAGGCTCAGCTCATCACCCATCTGAGAGTCCACAAGGTGGAGAAGCCGGCTTCCTCTTCCGAGTTCGAGGGATGTCCCTTTCCGAAATCACAAGGGGCCTTAACATGACCATAGACACTGGGTGGTGCCAGGCAGGGGGACGTGATCAGAAGCTGAAGTTTCTAAACCTTCTGGTGGCACATGATTCCCATGAGAAAGCAGACCCCCAGCTCTGGTCTTATCTTGGAGGAGACAAGTGGTGGCCTTATATATTCCAAGCTGGCCAATCAACTCCACCCCCTCAAGAATAATTTGTTAGAACAACCTTGAAGGTTACTGTGGACTTTATTCCAATACGTCTCTGACACGTCTGGAATACAAATGCAGAATGAGGACGTGGTTCCCGTATCTGGTCCAGTTTGGTCATAAATTGCCTTCAAAAGAGAAAACAAAGACCTCAATGACATCACAAGTCTGAGGTTTTATGGGAAACATCTACGTGTTGACCCTCAAACTCCTCAAGCCAGAAACTAGGGTCAAGACCTCAATGACATCACAAGTCTGACGTTTTGTTGACTGGTATCAGTGAAAGAAAATCACAATTTCTGTCATCAGAACAGGAATAGATGGGAAATCTTCCAATGGGGGAGCGGGGGGGGGGGGGGGTGGC